CAAGGATTCTGGATATATAAAGAATATCGAAATCCGACTTATAACGAAGAAGTTATGACCTGTCGAAGTTTCGCGACAAAACCGGCACAGTGCCGAATGACGTAAAAAGTGAGTTTTTGATAAACTACTTTTTAGCCTTAGTGATCTAAATGAAAGTCGTAGTGTTCATTAAACCGAGAGTATGCATAAAAAGAACGCCCAAATTTGACTTCGTATGAGGAAATTATGATTTTTCTAAGTTTCAGCTTAGCGGTAGACAGCTAAAAAATCGAATTTTAGATCGAGTGATTTTTAGCCGACACAACCTAAACGAGAATCGAAGGTCTCGTCAATAGTAGTACAACGGTAAAAAGACAGACGAAAACAGACGTCGGATGAAGAAGTTATGAATTTTTAACGAATTTCCTGTCCCGGTCTGTTAAAAATAATAATATAAAAATTAAAGTCAAAATTAGCTAACGAAGTCCAAACGAAAGTTGCAGAGCGTAATTTTACCTACGCGTGCATATAAAGAACGTCAAAAACGGAGCTCGTATGCGAAAGTTATGGATTTTAGAAGTTTTTGCACAAAAATCGAGAATTTTCGCATGAATAGTGCCGGCCACATCACCTTCGCTTTATGCGCGCCACATATCCGAAATTGCTGAGTCATCCGAGGCGTGTCGCAACCCTCGCATTCCAAAGCGCTGGTCCAACTGCGGTCCGACGCGTGCCCTTTCTTGCGTGTCCGAGCTTCGTATGGCGCGCCACCTTGCACCCCTCGGACCTAGACCTCGGTCCAATCAGAAGTCCACATCTGGACCCTTGCACGTGCGAGCCATCTGCGTGCCTTCGCCTCCTTCTGCCACCTGCCCTCGCTGCTGACTCACCCTTCTCGGCCGACCTTCGGACCTCGCCTATAAATACAAGGCTTGCGAGATTACCCGGGTAAAATGGGATTTTTGCCATTTTTCACCCATTTTTCAATATTTTTATTATTTTGACTTCCCCCGAAGCCCCGAGATTATTTCTAACACCCGGAACACGCCCCGAAGTACTCGAAGACCCAGAAAATTTTATCTTTTCGGTTTTGAAGCCCAACCCTCGCAGAGCCCGGTTTCTCAATAAAACTCCCGGTTTTATTAGAAACGATCGTTTTAGGAAACGAAGTGCTGCCCGATTATCGTTAAATCAAGTGAGTGTATAGTCACTTTCATCTTACACATAGATATGAAGTATTTTATATAAAATACGTGCTATGTGAATATATATTGTTTGTTTATTTGATATGGATATTGAAGGAATGATTTATACAGGTTTTTAAACTGTCTATGTATTTTTATCTACACATATGTTGGGTAAAACATGGGTAGATGAATTAGATGATGTGTGATGAAATAAAAATTGATGAGAGGTATCGATGTTTAAGATGATCTAGTCATCTAGCAGAGTATAGACAACGGCCACAGACTACTCTAGATAGTCCAGTGGAACGTTAGCAGACTCGTAATCGGTAGGTATGTTTGAACTATATGTTCATAAGGTGTTCTCGAACTATATGTTCATTAGGTGTTTTTGAACTATATGTTCATCCGATAGTTCTCCTTTTTGACACTATTACGTGTCGGGGTACAGGAGCGTACGGGAGTACTTTATTAGTATTTTCCCTATACTTTTTATTTTGAAGAGCTTTGGAGTCTTCGTTTCTTTTTATGAAGTGATCGGACGAGCTTCATGAGTCAGCGTTTCCGTTCACGATGCCGGATAGGGTGAGTCTGGGGGTAAAATACCTCACGATATTCAAATCACTGCTAGGCAAAGTTCGATGTTGGATAGGGTGAGTCTGGGGGTTACATACCTCACGATATTCAGATCACTGCTAGGAAAAGTTCGATGCTGGATAGGGTGAGTCTGGGGGTAAAATACCTCACGATATTCGAACCACGGCTAGACATTGATAACTACCCCTGACTTAATTGTCTTGTGGTTCTTTCTTTTACGAACGAAGGTTCGTGGTGAAACTTATTCCATTCCTCTCATTTGATGTCTTTATCGATCCTCGTTTGCTGCTAGGAAATTTCCGAAGCAGTTTCGTTAGTTGGTTGTTCATAGCGATCCTTTAGGCTAAATCTAGTAAGATCATTGTATTGGATCAGTATGTGGGGATCGACGTTTGTTAGTGCTTGTAGTATAAACCTTGGGCAGCTATGGACTTCGTGCCTATTCCTTAGGAATGAGTGATAGATGATTCTTAGGGTAACTCCTTAATAAATAAAGGAGATAATGGGGATTGGGTAATTGGGTTGATTGTTTGATGTTTAAACATAATAAATTTATTTATTGTGGGTTGAAAACCCTATATGCTCACCAGGCTCCCAAGCCTGACCCACTCAGTTTAATTGTATCACAGGTATCGATATGATGTTGCTTTACACTGAGAGATTAAAAAGAGAAGCATATCACTAGTGTAAATGAATGTAATTTTGTTTATGCTTATGTTTTTGTATTGACAATGACATCCCAGTGGTTTAAATGAATAAAATACATTTCTTCAGAAATGATTTGATAACATATTTATCATGTTTTTCTGGGAACAAATTCCGCAACACTTTCAAACAAATGATTACTCTGGTTTTATTTTAAAAAACATAAACGAAATCGGTCTTTTCTGGCCGTGAAATTGGGGATGTCACAAAAATCATCTTGTGAAGTTGAAATCAAGCGACATCAAGAGTTGTTGATGGAATGGTGAACTGTTGATAGAAATCAAACTAGAAAGTTAAATCTAGATCCTAGATAATATTCGTTTTTGGATTTAAAGTCTACAGGCTGTTAAAATAAATTAAAATTTAAATAAAGTAATTTTTTAATCTTACAATAGTTTTTGTCTCAATAACTTTTTATCAACAGTTCTTTATAATTTATAGAAAACACTAAACTGCAAACTCAAAAAATATTTCATGCATAAATAGACTCAAGCATTTGATTTAAACCGCTTTTAAAAAAACAAATGTTATGTATGGAAAAAATTAATGAAACCATCTATAAAAAATCATCCTTAAAAAGTGCAAATTGCAAAAAACTATATACACGAAACAATCTATGTGAAAATTCAAACAGATGATTCAAAAGTAATAAACACAAAAAATAGGGTGCATCATAAGAATCTTTAAACATATGAGAATAGAGTCGGTTGAACAATATTATTTGCTATTGTTTGCTAATCCATTGCATAGTTAAAAAAAAGTTTTGTCGATTACAAAATGGCTATCGAGTCGATTGAATAAGATTGATTATGTCATTTTTTGATTAATGAAGTTAAGAGCATCAAACAATTTAAACCGACATTGGCATCATAAAATATTTTGCTTTTCCTAAACTTATTTTACGTTAATATTTATATTAGATAATATAACTTTATGGCTTTTGTTTATATATTAACGTGTTTTTACATTTTGAATATATGTTTGTCGAAAGCTTTAAAAATATTAATGCTGAAGGCTTCAAAATTTTAAAGATTAAATTGGTTTTTAATTCTAATTATATATACTGGTTTAATCCTAATTTTTTATTTGAGAATGATAGTTTAATAATATCATATGATAGGTTGGATTTAGATAAAATTTTCAATATTAAATTGGTTTAATCTTAATTAAAATATTAATTTGAATATTTATTTGAATTTCATAGTTTTAGGTCGATATTGTTGTGACATGCTCTATAGAGAACTGGTTACTTGTAGACATGATTGTCCTGGGGGTTTACCTGAGAACACAACACAGAAGAATCGTTAAAGGACGACCGGGGGTTCTCCCGGGACGTCGCTCCGACGATCAAGTTAGTCCTTACTTAGAGAGATTTGGGTAAAACTGTATATGAGAGAAGATGAGTCCCTTCCTCGGGCAGGAAGAGATCCTTTTATACCTGTTACTAACGGAATGAGGTGACTCTCCCATGTGGGAGTGAGACGTGACACCCTCCTACTGGGAGAAGTGTGCCCACGCTTTCTAATAGCCAGGTGACGTCAGTTCTGGACGTCATCAGGCTCTTTGTCATGGCCTGATTGGTCGTGAGAGAATGAGAGGATCACGAGGAATATTCTTTCCTCGTGAGGGAAAGTGGGCTGTCATCTCGGCACTGACATACTTGAGCCAAGACTGTGTCCCGACCAAGGCCTTGACTTGATAACGTCCCGTCACTGCTTTCTGTCAAGTTTAACGTGGCCGCATACGGTAAGTTAACATATATATGTGCAGTTTAAAATTTTTAAAGATATAAAAGTAATATTTAAAGTTTGTAAAGATATAAGTGAAATCTATATTTTTTTATCTTTTAGGTTTGCAGACTTGTAAGATACAAACATGTTGTAAAATACAAACTGTAAACAGTGGCGGACATTAGTGGAGCCCGGGGGATCCGGGCCATTGCTCCGATTCCGACACTAGCACCCACTCAACCCACCGCCACATCAGTTTTTCTCTTTTATTTTTCTTTGACTTTCATAACCCCACAACACACGGAAACCCTATCTTTCCCAACCCACTCAACCCATTTAATTAAAAAAAATACAAAACAATCAAGGTAAAATCTTAATTAGCAATAGAGTTACCGCCGGTACCACTCCCTCTTCGGTGGGTTGTTTAATTAGTTTCACTAACCCACTTCATCATCTCTCTCTACTTTCTCTCTCTCATTTTCTTTTGTACCATGTGTTTTAAGACTTGTACCTTAGTTGTTTTGTATTTTTTTTAATTGAGTGAGTTGAGTGTGTTAAGATTGGATTTCCGTGTGTCGTGGGTTGGGAAAGATGAAGAAAAAAGAGAGACAAAAAATGATGGGAAAGTGAGTTCAGTGGGTTGGGAGGGAGTGAATCCGATGCTTGATAATCACTGATTCAACCACAACAAATTTTGTTTTTAATTTTCAATTTGTCACACAACTTTAAAATTAAAACTAAGGTTTTCTTTATTTTTTTTAGCCCATATTTAAACAAGCACAAAAAATGTATAAGCGTTGCCACGCTCGAGGTGAGAGAGAGTGAGATGGGGTTGGAAACACTTTCATCTAATAATGAACTCCTCAACTTGATAATCTATAACACCACAACCCCTTTTAGCTTCCATGAAACCACTACCTTCCACAACCACCACCCTCCTCCCATGGAAATTATCACCTATAATTCTTCATCCCCAACAGCCGCGCAACCACACAGCAGCATGGAAAACGATCAAAAGTCAGCCGTAGAAGGTGGAGGGAGGAAGAAGAAGAGGAGGAAGAAGGGTAGGGTGTCTAAAAACAAAGAAGAAGCAGAGACTCAAAGAATGACTCACATTGCCGTCGAGAGGAATCGCCGGAAACAAATGAACCACCGTCTCTCCGTCTTGCGTTCTCTCATGCCGGAATCTTACGTCCAAAGGGTTCGTTTATAATTAAATTTCGATGCCGAAATCACAAATTAGATCAAGTTGGTTGCTGTAGTCTAAGTGTCTAAACCTTTTCTCCATATAATTTACTGTTCATCTTTCAAGGTCTTTTCTTTTTCAAAATGATCAACAAACACACACACACACAAATACATATTCATATCCTAAGAAATCATTATCAATGGACGAAAATGCCATTTTTCAGGGTGATCAAGCTTCAATAGTTGGTGGTGCGATAGAATTTGTGAAGGAGCTTGAACACCTGTTGCAATCTCTTGAAGCTCAAAAGTTTCCCTTAACTCAACGACAAGAAGATGCAATCATTCATGACCACAATAGTAATTTTGCCACTAAATCTACCGAAGGATGTGATATACCACAACTGCCCCTCCATTTTTACAAAGTTTTCTCTTACCCACAAAACATGTCTCAGTATCCCAACAAGTACACTTCAAAGCACAAGGCAACCATTGCAGATATCGAGGTCAATTTGGTCCACTCACATGCTAATCTTCGAATCGTATTGCAGAAAAGGTTAACTCCGCTCTCGAAAATGGTTGTTTTCTTGCAAAAATCTCGACTTTCTATACTCCACCTCAATATCACCACCTTAAACCCGTTGGTGCTCTACTCCATCAGTCTTAAGGTAATCCTTCATTGCATGGCCGGTTTAGAGAATTGTCCATGCACATGTATGTATCGTGAGGGTAAATTTGGGATTTCAGTCATGAGCTTAGAGTTTGTAGATATGTACATTTGTTAAAGCATAACGTGCAAGTTAATTATATTGCATCTTTATGCAGGTGGAAGAAGGATGCTGGCTAAATTCAGCAGATCAAATAGCAGGGGCTGTCCACCAGATTCTTGCACTTATTGAGGAGGAAGCTGTTCTGTGTATCGACTAAAAATAATTGAAATGGCTACATGTTATTTTCCCGATTTACCCATATGACTTGTCTAAATTACTATAATGCCATTGCCATCCGCCTAGAGCTTCCCATCCCTCGTTTTAATGTACAACATTAGTTGAATTAAAATGTTTTTCATGTGGGCGTAGTTGTATACTTAATAGAACGTATTTCTGGTTAATTTTACTTTAATAAATATAATCTAGGACTATAATCTAAAAATTTATAGGGACAATCACAACATGACCACATGGTGTTGAGAAATATACGGAAATAAAACAATTTTTCCCTATGTCATAAATATAGGGAAATAAAACAATTTTTACCTATTTACTTAAAGGGTTAATGACTTCTAATTGTAATTAATGCATTTTGCCTTGTACACATTTAGTTATAAAAGTTTTTTTGTATGTAATTTAACATTACACTCTCATAGCTTGTTTAAAATAAACCAGTAATACTGAGTATTATAGATATAGCTAGTTTTTTTGGTATGAGTTGCACCATCGGTCATCTTTTACGATCATCTTCTTTAGCCGTTCTCAACTTGCACATTTGATTTTCGATCACCAAACCTCTAGAGGAATGAGATATGAGGTGAAGATCTTTGTTCCACTTTGAGCACCAAAATTCAACAAGTTAAGAAATGAGATATAAAGGTTCTTGAGTTCATAAGATTGCACGATGAAGACGATAAAGATCTCAGGATCTTCATGAGCTTTTCTTTCTAGTTTAAAAATAAAGAAATCCATAATTCAACACGATGAAGATGTAGGGATCTTGATTAGATTCAAGAGTTTTTTTTTCATGATGAACACCATAAAGATCTAACGATCTTCCGGAGCTTGTTTTTCCGAAAAACAATTTATTGAAATGTGTCTCTAAAAATTGAACACAGAAAGAGATGACCGGAGAAGCTAACAAAGACGAAAAGATAACTAGATATGCAACTTATATTAGAAAAACTAGCTAAAGCTATAATGTCCAATTATAATGGATGCAAAAGAGTGTTAAATGGTGAAGTGTATAAAAAAACTTATATATATATATATATATATATATATATATATATATATATATATATATATATATATATATATATATATATATATGACAAAGTACATTATCCTTACAAATCATTAACCCTTTACCTGAATGAACACCGATTGTGAAAGGGCATTCATATTTCAATGATATATAAATTATTTACATTCATGGCACTAAACATTTTTCAAAATTCTAGGATAAGTTTTTTTTGATGGTCCAAATGCTTAGTCCAAAATATGACATTTTTTGTTCAAAAAATATAATTTGATGTGATATAAAGTTTGTACGACACAAATTTTGTCCAAAATCATATTTCGAGAAACATGATATTTTTTAAAATATCTTAAAAGTTGGTAATAAATGGATTATCTTCACTTCGGCAGTCATTTTGTGATCATCACAAATTTATATTATAAGTTTATAAAGAAATATCGGTTACTATTGGCAAGTTTAGTGTCATCAATCATTTCGGTATGCAAAGATTATTTAAGACAAGTTACGTAACGTCTCAAATTCCAATCAAATTTGTTTATTTTTTAAAACGGAGAAAAACATACAATTAAATCATAAAAAAAATAATCATTCAATTACTTGATACCATAAATTAGAGTAATGAATTAATAAATGCGGAACATCTCAAACTCATAAAAGCAGATGGGATGCAATCACGTCGTGCTCTTCTCGTACTGTCAAAAAGACTTACAACATTTAAACTAAAAACAGTAAGCACAAAGTCTAGCGAGTTCTCCAAAATACCACATACCAAACGGACCTCGCCCAACAAGCATATAAACCGGTCTCACCCATAGGCCCAGCGCAAAATAACATATAAACGGGCCCCGCCCAACATAACAAATGAATGGGCCCACCTAACATGCATATAATCAATCATGCAAGAGTCACAAAAAACAACAAGTATGTAGCATCCTACATAGTATAGTAAGAAGACTTACCTGAGCTAAAAAACAGAAGCTCGACATCAACCTTGGTAACATAACAACTAACCCAAGCTACTTAATGTCAAACCGAGACTAGTCCTTAGTCAAGTACTCAATTCTACCAAAGTTTGACCAAAATTCAAGCTGGTCAAAACATCAACCCTTGGTGAACTGGGCGCATCACGCTGTATAAGGGTGCCCCGTACCCACTACAAGACAAAATAATCGGGTATCTCAGCTAAAAACAGACCTGACTCTGAAAACCCTAAAAAGCGCGTCGTGTCAGGGAAGGGCGAGCCGTGTTCAGGCCTTCTGCACAAAGTGAAAATACTTAATCCATTAAGTCAAAACCCCAAACTTCTAGATTTGGTCCTCAACAATGTGTTAATGGATAAAGTTTCCAACTTTACCCATTAAGACACTCCAATCAAGCAAGATCTAAATTTTAAGTGTCAAAAAGTCCAAGAATGCATCTTTCTCAACTTAATCTAATAAGTCAAAGTCTTCTACATTTAGATATGAATTAACATGATGTCTAAATGGATAACGTTTCCAACTTTATCCATTATAAAGCCACAAACTTCCAATATTTAAAACCCTAAGTTGAGAAATGACCAAAAATCCATCTTTATTTATACATGGAGTAAAAAGAACTCTTTCATGCATTCTTTACTCCACCAAATGATCATATAACATACCAAACATCAGTCAAAAGCTCAAGAGTTCTTCCAACTCAACGGAATAAACCACAAAGGGACCAAAACTTACTAAAATGGACGAAACCCAACAAACTCTTAGATATATGGAGGAAACATAATAAAGCTTGAAACTTTAGAGTTTAACAAGGTCCAAAGGTGTTAAGAAGGTTGAAATCTTCAATATCCATGTTTCCTTGCCAAATCTTTCATGCATCATCACCCAAGAACACTATAGGAGCAAAAAGGAGCACCAGGATGAATTTAGGAGAGAGGATGAGCTCCAAACAATTTAATGGTGGCTAGGGTTTCATTAGAGGTATTATAGAGGAGGTGAAGGCAGAAAATGATGAACCAGAGGGTTAATGGCCTTTGAATACCCCACGTCCTCACCGTAATTCCATAGATTTTCAGTCTTCAACTTCAAACAATCATAACTTTTTCGTTCTTAACCTGATTTGAGTGATCTTTATATGCACGAGAAGGTATTGACAAACCCCATAGTTCTATCCAATTACTTTTGACTTGAAACATATAGAACGTAATTCATAATACATGCAAAAATTATAGAATATCACTTTTTCCCATTTTACCCATTCATGGGTCCAATACACAATCCAATGGATTATATCATTTAACCAATATTATCAACATATAATAAGGTCCAAACTCTATCCTTTTGAATCCCGATACCTACTCTTGACTAAATTAATGTTCGTCATTCCGAAATAAGAAACTTCCCAAATCCGGATGTTACAATTTTCCCCCACTTAAATTGGGTTTCGTCCTCTAAATCCGTCTTGGTTAAAACTATAGAAGATAACCCATTATGAAATCTTTATAAATCCTATGATTCCCTTATTAACCAATGCATCGATATAAAAAGGGTTACAAGACCTCTCGGAACCTAGGTAATGTCACCACCAAGAACCCAATCACATGAAACTTCTCAACTATAACACTAACTTTGTCATCACCAATGGTCTGACCAAACTTAAACGAACCCACTAATAACTGGAAACTTCCAATACTATAAACACAACACAAGCCGAACGGTAGACTTCCCAAGACCAGAGATCCATCGGGCTGAAACCCCTGAAATCATACACATAGACTGACAAACAATCTCTTATAAACCCATCCCCCAGTTCTTAAGATTAGAAATAATGTCATATTGTGCTGAAACAAGCACTCAAACATTCTGAACACAAGAACCAAGACAATCTCCGCTTCGAGAATTCATCACTGAAAGGCCTCAGATGTACACCTGACTTCCCGACCAATAATCAGTAACCTACCGCTCCCACGAATATAACAATGGACGGACCTAAATCTCTCATTGCGTCCATATTCATCCCAGCTTAGGGGTTCAACCACCTAATAGATCATTAAAGCGACCCACTACGAACTCTTTGATACGTGTGAAATATACTAGTTTTAATCCTAACTAACTTAGACAAAAACCAACACACGATAGGCAGTGTACCTAATCAAATATTAGTTTAGTGCATATAAGTAAGGTATCGAACACAGGGAATAATAAAAATAATTAAAACTACTATTAATGTTAATTAATTTAAAAAAATGATTAAATAGGGGGTTTTCTCTAGTTTTACAAGACTAGAAACTTAGACAATCAATTAAACACTTAGCAAAGAAACAATTAACGACTAATTGAAGAACAAAAGACGATAGAATCAAGAATATTAAAGAGACTTCCGTTTAGATACGATGCACTTACTCCTATGGTTGATTTCGTGGAAAGTGCAATGGATTAATGTATCATCAATTACCGATTTCTAATGTGATTAGGTTAATGTTCGCTATTACTAATCATTTAGCAAACAAATCAATTCAAACAATGATCGGTTGATTAAATTAAAAAGTTTACTAGTATTAAGTTCAAATCATGCAAGACTTGTAATGGTAATTAATTCAATTGGCTGGTTAAATTAATTCATATATGGTTGGTCGTCATATATATCTCACACATCAATTTACTTATTCTCTAGTTAACCCTAGGTTTTGTTCAAAACACTAGACTTACAATCTTGATGGTCACAAAATTATAAGAGGCAAGCAATCAAGAAGATGTTCATACAATCTCAATTTACTTAGTAATTAACAGAAAATAATGGTTATTAACATATAAGGTTCTTTAAACAAGCTTAGCATTATAAATAATCAATTCAACATAATCCAAAATCACAAAATCAACACATAGTCACATGATCCTCTATTCTAAACGAAATCAGGTTTTTTAGCCCATGACTTCAGCTAAAACAATCATAAAAACGAAATTAAACATTGCAAACATGATGTAAACAAAGGAATTAGGTAAAGTAATGATGAATTGCCTTTGATCTCTTCAAGAACAAGCTTCTAGTCGAATTCTGTAAGCCACAACTCCACAGGGATGTCTCCGGCCTCCAAAAGTCGATAAAAACCTCCAACATCCATTAGGGTT